GTCATGAGATGTCATGGGTTTACCTCCAGATACTTCCAGATTCTCCTAGGTTCTTGACGCTCTTCGCCTACTCATTGCCATTCCCGCACCTATTGAGGGTGCGCCATGCAAGTTCCGCTGACATTCACTGGTCATGGCATGGCTGCGCAGGTCTGGGACAACTTTCTTTGTCGCGGGATAAAGTCATGGACACCCAGCCACAGCAGCGTGGGGCCGGGTTTTTTCCGCGACTCATGAAAATGCTGATGGGAATTAGTATTGAACTAGAGTATGCATTAATATGTATTTGCCTTGATTGTTTATCATGTGTGTATCTCTCTATCTATAAACATACATATATTATATTATATATTTGTCGGAGTCCATTCTCAAATGATTGAAAAAGTAACTGATGCTTTAAGTTTGGCATCTGTGGGTTTGCGATATTTTCGGGCAGCATGAACCATGAGCTGTGGCATGATCCTTTAACGAAGCTTTTATCTTGCAACCACATCCGGAATCAACCTTCGCCAAGATCGGCAAGATCAAATGCAACACTGCGTTTTGCATAAAAAAATATTCTCACTTTTTGTGTATTGAAAGGCTACTAGGATACAATGAGTTTTTCACAGCTGCAAAACAGTTGATTTCCACGGATACATACATCCCTGTAGACCACATTGTCCGCCACCAAGCTCCTACTTGTATAGTCTTGTACAGTCTTAGAGTTAGGACCCATCAGGGTTCAGTTACAATGTTTTGCTCCACCGTGCCATGTCGCTGGTTCTGCTTTGGAGTACTTGTTATTCCACAAGTCATGCCATTCCTGGACATGAAACTAGCACTACCAGCCAGACGTTGCAGGAGCCGGTAGTCTGAGCTGGACTGGTGTGAGTAGGTCATTGAAGACATGGGTTGTCCAAAATTGGAGGGTATACATGGGTATAGCAGAAAATGGCAATGTCCATGTGGAAAATGATGAGCTGCCGTGGGATTTTTGGGATTTCAATCAAACCCAAATCAATCGAGGCCTGACAGTCCTTTGCTACCACCGTGTCACGCTAGATGCCTGAAGATTTGCACCATCCAGATCATCCAGACCCCATCTTGTCGCAGGACGTTTCAGCGTGCGCATGCTGAATTACTACACAAAGGCAACAGCATTCTGTCCGGGAAGAACAAGTGGTTGGGTGGAGTTCTTGGATTGGACAATGACATTTACTGCATACCCTGCAACAAAGCCTCTGAAACCTGGCTGAACATGTCAGCTTTTAAGCAGCTTTATGTTTGTAGCGACGATATCATGGGTTTCAATTGTAATATGTTAATGAAGTACTGTATATATATATTATAAATTATAATGTTATATATTATAATTGTATACATAAAGATACATAAAGGGTATATATCATATATCATATATTATAATATATTATATATATGTTATATTATGATATATTATGTATTCCATATTATATACTATATTACTATATGTTGTAGATTATACATTTTTTAAAATAATATCTTAAAACATATATATGTCTAATACTTTATATGTTATATTATATATGTTCATACTATATATATATATATATATATTATACGTATATATATATAGTGGTCATCTAGTTTCATTCAACTTGTCCATTGCGTCAAGGTGCTCCAAATATCCACAGAGACAGGCCACATATCAACCTTCGGAAGCACAGCAGAAGGACGATTCAAGTGGTCTCGTGGCTTGCTTGCCCGGAATCTTTGGCATTTAGTCCCTTCCAAAATCAAACAGCCTCCAGAAACCATGGTGCAGTAGGGGATTTACACTTATTTGGGACCATAGAATGTGGGTGTTTGATATTAGGGGAAGGGATTAGTAGCAATGTTTGAAGTGTTAAATACCTTGGAGTAGCTGTCCTACATTCAGCTGTGGATATCTGTGGATATGGTTGAAAAAGTTACATTTCGTTGCACAAGCCTTGGGGCTTGCGGTCTGGTCATGGCTGAGGAATGGGAATATTTATGGAATTCCAGCAGCAGCTGAATCTGTGTTGAAGATCGTGCCTAGCACAAAGCAGGTTAGTGCCATCGGTTGCGTACCTTCTGGCAAGTGGAAATGGCACGGTGCCGCTATTGCTCGCGATGGATCTATCTATTGCATACCAGCAAACGTTGCTCTCTCTTTCATTCATACATGTTCCTCTTTTTCCCTTTTTGTTGATTGTAAATTGCTGTTTTGGTTGGACAGCCAGGGTTTTTAAAGAGGTCTGTGAGTAGGGACAAGATTGGACAAGATTGGACATGATTGAACAAGATTGGACAAGTTTCCCAAGGAGTGGACAGCCAGTCAATATTTAAAGCATTCCAGAACCAGTCGTTCTTGCAGCCGGTGATGTTTTTCAGTCCGAGTTGAAATAGGAGGTTGCCCTTGTCCTTTGCTTTGACACCTACAGATAACCCGTGGTAATTTAACATAGCTATGGACAATCACAATCCCTAAGTATCTTGAAAAGGTAAATTATAATAAATCATTTATACATGGGCCATTTTCTATAGCTTTGCAGCATTATGCAGCTATGTCAAATAACCAGAGGGTATCCACAACCGAATTCAAGATCCAACTCCTTTTCACCATCTGCGTTGCTGAGGCTGATCGAGTTTTGCGAATTGATCCAGAGACGGATCGAGTTGAGACAATTGGCGATCCTCTACCTGGACGATGGAAGTGGTATGGGGGCATCCTTGCAGAGGATGATTGTACCTCTTAAGAAGCAGTTTCAACATGTTATTACATGTTTCAACTGCCATGAGAAACTGGGTAATACATAAATGGTAATAAATGTTAGGATATGTTAGGATAATTTAGATGTTAGTCACGTTGTCAGGATGAGCAGCTCTTCTGTTGCACTATCTGCTAAGTTTATGTCATATTATACCAGTACGATACGACGAGATGTGACACATCTCATCAACTCGCCATGGAATCGCTTTGAGTGATGTTCATTTTGTCAATGCTCAAAGAACACATTCCAGCCAGTTCTGCAAAACAGCCTGATTTGACTGATTTTAGTGCACTCAACTACTTCTTAGGTATCTATGGCGTCCCATACAGTGCTGGATCAGTTCTGAAAATTGAGCCAGCGACAGGCAGGTGTTTTGGAGTCATTGGAGAGTTGCAGGATGGAATTTGGTGGAAACGGGATAGAACCAGTGAAAAATCTTTAGCGTCCCCTGACAGGTAAAGTCTCGACTATTGGAGACCTCAAAGAAGGGGATTGGAAATGGCATGGTGGTTCCTTGGGTTTGGATGGTGCAATTTATGGCATCCCAGCACACGCAGATTCGGTCTTGAAGATTCAACCTGAGACTGGAGAAGTGAAGACCATAGGACCGCAATACGGGAACAGCATGGAACAAACTGAACAAACTGCAGATTTCTCACAGCGTCCCACTGGACCTCCGTGGAAAAGATGGAAAAGGAAGTCCAGGTTTGCAGACTCTTTAACACCACAAGATTAGTATCTTGAAGGCAGAGCACACGCATGTGTAAACCCATATATAACAAGGACAACAGAAAAAGGCTCCCTCGCTATATCTATCCGATCTATCCATACTATTTTTTTGTCTATCCATCCATCCATCCATCCATCCATCCATCTTTCTAATCCAACCCAATCAAGTATCTCTATCTATCTTTTCCTTAAACTCGTTGCGGATCTGACCGCTGGTAGATTTTGACACAGGAGGGCCTTTTCCTGGAAGATACAAATGGCTCGGTGCGGTCTTGGGCAGTGACGGATGTCTCTACGGTATTCCGTACAATTCGCAGAAGATTTTGAAGTCACCTGGAGGCAACGTTGACATGACCCCAATGAACAAGTTCGAAGGATTTTGTAATCCCAATTATTCAGGGATGTAGACTCTGAGTATGTGTGTATATACTTATATATATATAGTTTGATCTGGCTTCAGCAGAGCCTGTTGAAACCAGTTTGGTAGTGATCAATTGCTATTATACTGTATATTTATTTTGGCTTGACACCATTTTGGTCGACCAGCAGCATGCTTTATCAAGGATCACACCAAACAGCGAAGATGTGGAGCTGATAGATGTTCCGCTGAAAGGCCGAAATATGTGGCAAGGCGCAGTTGTTGCAATGCGTTTGCACTGACTGGTACTCGTAATTTCAGTGTTTGGCGCCATGAGTTTTTACTGCGCTTATCTCCTGACTGGTGTTCCAGGTGGAGTGCAAGGACCAGATGGAACTGTTTACTTCATACCACGCACCTCGCATTTTGTGGGAAGAAGTGAGCATGCTGTGTATGCTTTGCAAAACCTTTACTTGCTGGACATACTTGGATGATCTTGGATGTCGATTTCCCTGTGGGAAATCTTGGTGTTTTTACTGGTACCACAGTCGGTACCACACTATATGAAAGCTGATTCAAATGATGTTTTCTGATGTTTCATGACGTTTCATGGACTTTGTCCTCCAACATCATCTAAGGTTGGGCCGAGCACGTTTTGCGAGTCTCTGCAGATGGAGCCACTGTCGAAGCAGTCAGTGGTGAAGCCTTGGTAGGTCTCTTGACAGTGAGGTGTAAGGCTTCTCAGAGTTGAGAAAGATACCCTCTGGTAAACTAGCATAGCTGTTGAAAATCACCATTTTTAGTGGGTAAATCAACTATAAATGATATAAATGGCCATTTTCAATAGCTATGTTAAATTACCAGAGGGTAACACTGACCGGCGCTGACCACAGATTCTTTGCTGAGAATGATTGGTTCCCACTTGGATGAGGCTGGAACAAATTTCAAGGGGCTGTGCTTGCGCGAAATGGATGCATCTATGGTGTCCCGTTGCTTAGCTGTTTTTGAATTGTGCTTGCCAAAGATTGATATGTCTCTTTGGATATCTTGTAATACAAGGGATTAGAAGGGTTTATTTGGAAGATACTAGAAGGGCATTCAAACAGCTCCAGAGCGATCACTTCAAATTCTCAAGCGGCTGAGGCAGGATTTGGACGCTGTTCTGAAGATCGAGCCTGACCGACTGGACCACTCAGCCAGCTGATACCAGGTATAGATGGTGAGCTTTGCTTCAGAACACATAACTATGATAGGTCCGCACACATCCTCACACTGAAATACCTGAAATACATTGTGGGCATTGTGGACTCGGAGTCTCTCAGCTTTGGCCCGAGCTCATCCCGAGCTATTGGACTTCATGGACTTCAAAGCCAACGGAGCAATGACAACGGCCTGACATTCAAAGCTGGCAACTATCACATTAAAGTGCCCAATGTTCCCAAGGGCCGTTCTGTAGTTGTGAAGAGGGCAAGAGTAGAGCCTTTAGGCCTTTAGCTTCCACCTGCCGAAAGAGTACGTGACGGTCAGAGGTCGGCGAAGATTACACGAGATTACAAGATAAAGATATTACAAGGCTTTGGAACGCATGTTCTATTCAGATCAAATCTGGAAGCGGAGGGGTATTTGGCCTGCATTTTGGTTATGGACCTGATCTGGAAGATTCTGGAAGCTTGGTGATCGTTGATTTGCAGTTGGCATCACCGAGGGTGCTTCCAACACTGCGCCAAGGGGATTCGCGTAGGAGAAAAGGTGAGCAGCTGAGCACTTAATGGATCAAGATTTTGCAGGATGTTCTGGGTGTATCCGAGATGTACAGATGGTTGCAGGGAGATGGTACGGAGCGATGAACTTTGAGTCTGAATTGATACATCAATGCAGCTTCAACCCATCTACCAATTATCTGAAGAAAAACAGTTGTTAATCATCCTTTATCCACAGTGTTTTGTCCTATTGTTCAGATAGTCTTCCATCTCACATGTAGAGTCCTCAACCGTGATGACAGTATGACAGTATGTGCAAATTTACGTTCTTTTTTGTGTGACAAGGGAAGAGTCAATATCACAAAACAGACACTGGTGGAAATTGTTGGAGATGTTTCCCCCACGGCGGCGACATGGATCGTCACCCACGTCCCGCAGAACGCTGAGGTTTATTCATCGTGTTGGCCTGGCATTGCTCAAAGAGGCTCACAAACATCGAGAGCATTACCACCATTGCCCATGATGAGCCACGCTGAACTGGAAACGTCATGCATTTTGTGCTGACCCACTGAACTCCTAAACACCCGATTCTTGTGTTGCTGTGAAGACTGTAGTACGAATGAGTCAACAAGATACTTCTATAGCCTGACAATGCCTGACAGATCAATGCCTGCATGTGTGACTATCACTTTGGATAGGTCATGGATTTCATAGTATTGATAGGAGTTGCGTTCATGTGTTGGTAGGCAAAGTCGGATCTACTTGGCCAGAACTTTGATGGAGCAATTGAAAGGTCCAGCAGCATGGCTGAGATGGCAGCACTGTCAGGACAAAGTGATGTCAAGATTTTATACACTAGTAGTCTCTAAAAGTATCCAGGATGTTTCAAGTTTTAACCCCACTCGAGAGGCCAATTGCAGACAAACAAACTAGTTTGGTCTGATTTGCATGATTTTGCATGTAACCATCATGTAACCATGGGAATATTATTCAAGAAACATGGAGAAACATGTTGCGAAATTGTCGATGTCGCTGCTTTGCCAGGTTGCGCTTCTTGTGTCAACGGTCCCAGCTCTCTCCTGAGGCGCTGGTAGACTGGTCATTTATGGTCATTCCTGCATGGCCGCTGGTGGTTTGAATGTTGGTTTTTGACATGTGACTCACTGGTAACATCTGGGTTTTGATTGTTGATATTGTTACTTCTGTGTTAGTCTGTGTGATTAGAGGTCATGTTTTAAGACCAGTCCAGACTTGGGGGTGGCAAACATGAGCAAACATTATATATATCATTATCGCTAGGGTATACTAGGGTCCAGTGTGGTCCAAGCCATTTCAAGCCTCTAGTCGGAGGCCCTTGTGGCTTTGGCCATGGAGTTTAAGGCAGGACGTCTCCGCACTTGGACAGGTATGGCATGTGTGTTTGCCATTTGGCCATATTTGACATTGAGTCATTGAGTAGCTGCTTAGCTGAAGCATGCAGAACACTTAAAGCTGTTTTGTGAATGGCCAAAACCATTCATCCTACCAAGATTTGGACTTAGCATGTCGGAGTCTTGCAGCAAGCGAACTTAGATAACGGGCATCGTTCTTGGCAGCCACGTTGCGCTTTAAGATCTGAGCAGCTCATGATGAGCACTTGATACATATATAATGTAATTATACACATCAAATATAAATAGTAACAGTGATAACAATAATAATAATAATGATAATTAGATATAATTAGTAATAATGATAGTAATGATAATAAAGACATAGTGATAATAAGCAAGAATGATAACAATAATGATAATAAATAGATCACTATATAAGTAAATCAATATATATATATAATAAATAAGTGAATAAACAATAATACCTAATAATAACATTAATAATTATTTTCATGATAGCAAAAATTGGTTTCGCTCAATGTCAGGTGACCAATCGCTTCCTGAGCGACCTGGAGCAAGCAATTACCAGTCCCAGTGGTGGTTCTTCCCGGCTGCCCTGCTGCTTCTTGGAGCGCGACTTGGACCGTGCGGATGCCCAGACTGCCCAGACATATCCAGACAGTGCCATGGTGCCATGGTAACAGGGAGATGGGCGTTTCAATGGCTGACTAAAAGAGAGGCAAGTCGAAATTCGAATGGATAGAGAAAAAATGGTTTTGATATTATGTTTATACTATTGATTATGTTTATTATTGTTTAAAAATTGGTTTTGATCATGTTACAGCATGCTGAATCTAAGAGATCCACGGTTTCGATTGTTCAATGTGCTTTGCAGCTCTGTCGTGTGGCTGTAGTTTGGCATCACGCACGGATTTGTCTATAGTCAAGTACGTACCTTGTCTATGCTCATACAGATTAACATAGATTCACATGATACATCAATCATCAATGTACTTCTACCAGGCACACAGTTCTATAGAAGTAGCATACGGTCAGTACCGATTGGAGAAAGGAAGATCACTCCACACGTCGGCCGAACAAGTGTTGACAAGGTGGGCGGACGCAGTGCCGTTTTCTGATGAACGAAAGAGGAGCTGCCCATAGCTGTTCAGAGAAGCACTGCCAGCGTCAGATTTTGATTTGATGAAATTGTCACTGCTTGGGCCTTTGCAATGTTGGCTGAATTTCACTGTGCTGTTGTTGGCAAGACATCCTGAGTTGAGATTAGTTTGACTGGTTAGTCTCTACCACTAGCAGACACAAGGCAATTTGCCGGTACATTTACAATGATTGACATCATCTACAGATTCATCCTTATCTATAGTATTAGTATTCCATACTTGAACTATTTTCATCAGATGCGATCTTCCCATCTGCCAACCATTCCGGACCTGTTGATTTGGATGATTGACTCAATCTCTGAAAATCAACTAATGTGGGTACCCATTTTTCAGATATGTCAGTAATTTCATCAACAATGGTACCCATTTTTCTCCCATTGTTCAGCCATTTTGTAAGGTCCAGAAGGCCCCTCTGTGGAAGCTGATGGTGACACCTTCTGGGAGGCGTCGTTGCCGGCGCCGCGAGTCCCTCAAGACCCGGCAGCGATACCAAGCGAAGCGACCCAGCCGCCCAAGGAGAAGAAGGCAGAGAAGCTGCAGGGTCGGGTCATTTATTGGTCTTTTCATGTCATTTCATGTAAAAAGAATTAAAAAGATGGAGGTTTCAGCAAGAAAAAATGGGGACAATTTCGCGTTTACCATTGGCTACATACCCAACAAAATTAGGATTTTACCGGCAAAAAATAGAGAATATGAGAATTATTAGATCGAGCCAACAAACATGGTCTTAAACCTGCCAACTTCTGATCACTTGTTCTGTTGGTCTTGAAGCGGTAGAAGAACTTATGAAAACCTGCTGGTCTCCATAACTTCAACGATACCAGCGAGTATTCAACAGAAGGGATGCAGTGGGGATGATTGACTGCGTTCCTTTGGTGGAACAGGTCTCGCTGTGTCTTTTGAGTTGCAATTTGTGCTTCTGCCACAGGCAAAATCACAGCTCAAGCACGGCACTCGGTTGATCTGCTCAATACCGTTTCATTTTTCATAGGGCCAAGGTAATTAATTTGGAAAGTTGAACTGACAAGACAAACAAATTCGGACAAAACCATGCAAATCCAACAAGTTATTACATTGTTTGATGCAGGGGTTATAAGGACATACGTTATGTGGAAGCGAAAACCACGATACGTGAGGGCAGCGCAGCATATTTTGACCCCTGAAAGCTGGCTGAAGCTTGGGTGTTCTTTACTTTAGGAAACCAGATTGAGTCAAATGGTTGGGAATGCGAGTCATGATGATCTTTCGATTGATCAAGCATAGCTGTGCGAACCTTGGTAGCCTGTGAATCAGATGTGAATGGATCACCTTCGTATGCTGTGCAAGCAAGGTCCTTCGCCAAGAAGTCTCAGCAGGTCCTGAGCAAAGTAAAAGCGCCAGCTAGCGTCCTAGTGCCTCCATGGAACATCACTTGCACGGGGAAGGAAGTGAACCTGCGATCACTGCATACTCGAGCACACAATGCGAGCTGGGTCAATGTGGCAGAGTTCCTGGATCCTATATGATTCACAGAGAGACTTTGAGAATCTTTGAGACGAGGTCAACATTGGTCAACTAGTCCTTGCTAATATTGCTACTCTCAAGATCGGCTCATATCAACGATCAAAATGAGGAGCTCTGAAGCAGATGGTGATGATGGTGTGCCTGAAAATTGGGAACCCCTAAATATTTGACGGTTTATGATCAATTTCCCCATCGCAGACGTCCTGGAACTGCACCAAGCCAACTGAACGCAGCTCCGCTGTGGATGGAAGCAGAGTGGACATACCCAACTAATGATGAGATTATTGAGATTAAATCTTTGCACTCGTTTTTGTTCCAAACACCAGAAAGCACCTGTACTGTACATTCCTTTTGAATATTGACAAATACCATTCGAATAATTTGGAGAACAATGAGAACCGATATCCAGATGTTGCAGATGTCTGGTCCCAAGGCCGTGCTTAGTCGCAGCTCAGGCTCTCCAGGGCTGGGCTGGAAATTGGAAACTGGAGATATCAAGCGAGCAAAATCCAACGAGAGCATGAGCCCTTTGGGGATTTTCTCCATAGTCTTGAGACGGTAGAGCTGGCTGGAGGCAAACATTCCAAAGGTCAGGCTAGGAACTCAGTTTTAACGGATTTGACTTCATCTATTCAGAAATTAGGAACGCTACCATAATTTGCAACACATGAGCTGCACATGCAACCTGAGATAATTCCTCATGAACACAGTTCAGACACATTTTGGGCACGGAGAGACATCTTTGGAGATGTGAATTACAGTTGTTCATATTTACATGTGTCAACCGCTCAAACCAAGGCTCCCACGGACTCAATTCTACACCTATCAGACTCAGAGCGAGTGAAGGATCGGATCCGCTGGAGAGTTGATTCTCATTGATCAGTTATCGAACAAACCACAAGCTGCATCCTTTCCGATTTTGCTGGACTCTTTTGGCACAGCTACCTGGACATACCTGGACTCTGGGGATTGAATGAATACCCCACCGCTC